GGTGAAAGGGGGGGGGGGGGGTGTGTTAAGGGCTGCCAGACTATCGAAAGAGGCAAGGGAGCACCCGAGCGTGTGGGCCACTGTATTAGATGAACCAATAATGATTCGAAATGAATGAAAAATTTTCAAAATGACAACATTTGAATTAGTTTATTCATACTTTTATTTGTATTTGCATCATTATGGAGATGCATCGCTTTATTTTGATGCGTAATTGTAGCGATTCTCGACTTGTTTATCTCCTCTAACTGCAGATTATATTTGCTTCATTCAGTTTAACGCACATATATTTACATCTTATTGGTAAACAAAGCATTTATCTAATCTGGCTTATTTCTTTGTGAGTTTTCATCGATATCATTGCAACACAAATGCAAACGTGATATGATTTATGAGGAAAGCATGAACTTATTTTAGGGGAATATGTCTTATGTGTATATTTTTCAATTTATTTCCTCTTTTCATTTGCCTTCTGAGCATACATTTAGTTGTATGTTTTTTTTCGGGAAACGAATATTGTTTCAACTTACTTCATTACGCAATACTCCTTTTAGATTATATCTGTTGGTGAATATTGGCAAATGAATGGATGCGGTGGCATATACGATCGAATTTGGTGCATACACATACACACTGTTCACCCTCATATATAAAGTTACATATATACACGTTTCGAGGCCAGCTATCGAACATGTTTCGAGCTTATTTAATTATCGTTTTGCGTTTAATCTTCGCTTGCTTCCTTTCGACCAGCTTGTCTCTCGTTCATTCTCACTCGTCTTATTCCAATTATTTGTTTGCCTTTATTTGTATTTGCATACACGCAACAACACTATCCTGGACTTAACCGAATAGTGCGATTGATTTGGGCCAACATTAGTCTGCAGTCTACTGTAATATTGCTATCTCTGAATGAAAATATTGAGTTTCGTTGATCCAAAAATCCAGTCGGATTCTCATTTACATTTGCAAATTGAAAATTCTTTTCAAATCGGTAATGAAACTTTGAAATCGATGCAATGAAGCGTGCAGCAACGCTTCTCGTTATTTGTTTTGAGCATGCATATTTTTGGTAGAGTAGGCCATGAGAGAATGTGTATTTGTTTGTTTATGGCATTTAATCATTTCCGCTGAGGCATTCTCGATCCTGCCGGAAAGGATAACGCATCACGAAACCTTTTGATGTTAAAAACAAAACCAACAAATGTTTGATAATGCTAATGTCGATTGTCAAAGTCTCTTCAGAACAACAACAATTTCGTCAAAATTCAATCAAGCAATTTTATCAGATAAAAAATCTCACCCAGACAACAATGAACAACCCATAACGTTTCGATCTTTCACAATAATTCGATCCAAACAGTCATTTTTAGTCATTAGAACTAAACAAAGAATGTGTCGGATAAGCACTCTTTGCTTAAAAGTATCTCTAAAGATGAAATTATGGCAGTTTAGAGAAGCAATGAATTTTTGTTGGCATTCATTTGTTATGTTTTTTCATTGCACTGTTGTTATCGATATAAGGATGTGTCCATAAGGAATATGTTATGTTCTTTTTTTCTGACCTGCCGCGAAGCATTCCTCACACTCAACTGAATTCAAAATCAAAAATTTATCGTATTGTTAGTTTCAATTCGAAATGAAACAACAACGTTAACGCTACGAATAATTTCAAATAATTGTGCGCTTTTCCTTAATTGTGTGTTTGACTGATCACCGTGTACTACTGCGATAAACATTCGTGTATGAATATTCAATGAAATCAACCAACTGCGTTTCACACCAACGTTCTGCTGCCTCCAGTGAAATCAGTGTCAATGAGAGCTTCGTGCTACCGTCACTTACGTAACCCCTTTCAATAGCTCCTCTCCTCGTTACAGCGCCTTTCAGCATACATATGCTAATAGTTATTGCCAGCACTGAGTTCAGATCTGCCTGCTTGAATTCATTGTCGATGTACTTTTGAATGCTCATCAATGATCGCATGAACCTTTTTAAATTACCATTTGTCAGTGAATTTAGAGAATAATTTTAGAATTGCGTTATGTGAATAATTATAATCAATTTATAGCATTCTCTAGGGATCTATGCCATAGTACAAACACACGCGATACATCCTATGCTTACAATGTCATTGAGCACGACCTACTTCAAGCAGTGCACAACTGATATTGAGTGGTAACAGTGACCGCCAACAAAGACAAATTGGCAATGATCATATCAATGGTAAGATGTACTTACCAAAAAACACCGTCTCCGGAATTGCCCTCTTTTCAATGAATACTCTTGAACAACAAGTTCGTTCTCGTCGCGTCGATCACAACGATCAATTGCGAAAATCGTTCCAGTAGAATCGATATTTTTCTATGAATCTAATTTTGTCGCCAACCTCTGACAGCTGTGAGATATTCCCGCGAAAGCTAGTCAGTTTTACAATCACTTCATAATTCAAGGTGCTCGATTCGCTTACTTTCATTTTAATCTCGTGTCCTTATCCAGTCACATTGGCCGCTGCATTATTTTTCCAGTTTAATTCACTTAGGCTTAGGCAGAGAAACATTAAAAGCCGTATTGAGAAGTACAAAGATGAAATAGATGGGGAATGCAATGAATATCATCCAGAATCATTATTCAAACGACTGAAAATTTTCAGATCCTATCAATATTTATTCTTAGACAGTTCTTTTGCATATTTATGCTTCAGTCTGTAATATCCATAAGCTATCCTGCTCGTCTGAAATTCAGCAGTAAAATGGAAGGTGAAGTGATAAAAACCCAAAGTGAATGTGTCAGTTGTGAGAGAGAAATAAATAAATTTGCAGTGTAATCTCCTTAATGCAACCTTTATTGTTTGCATTTATGCATAAAAGCATTCAAAAAATCATGCAATGCATCAAAGATAGCCTACAATTAATAGAAACGAAAACGTTCATTGCAAGAATTCATGAAAAATATGGGGAACGTTGAAACGAAAAAATATGATTAATTCAACAGTCGCTTGTTTCAGAGTGCTCTTGTTTAGTGTGTAGGTTGAAAGAATTCAAGCGAAGTTGATATGGAATTTTTTTGTGAACTTTTCAAAGAGTTCATAATTTTACGTAAAATGATTCACTCCGTTCATTTTTCACTTCTTCAATGATTAAAAGGACAGAGTCATTGAGAGATCAAAACTATTTCGGTCATTTGCCTAATGGCACTTGATGAAGGAATCAATTGAAAAAGATATGGAGGTGTCCGCATTGAAAAGCTTCATTGCTATTATAAGTTAATTCCAAAGGGAATCTCAATGACGTATTTTGCAGTGTAGACAAGAAAGAACCAAATGAATTGAAAATGTTCATTTTTCCGTACAAACTCCATAAATTTATAACATATAACTAAAATTCTGGTAATACCAAAAACAACAAAATCAACAGTTATTAACGTAATAAGGACAACAAGCGAAGTCAGTCAACAAAAATACATTTTTATGAATAGAATCAGTCACAACAATGCAGAACCATCACGCAGCTCTATTGCATGGATTTGCTGAATCGTACAGCGCAGTCGTATAGAAGAGCCATTTTGAATTTAGGAGAAGAAATAGACGGACTCTCGAACGTCTTCAATATTCAATTGACCAGCTTTAACCGATGGCGTAAAAACTCGTGTAAATCGTGCCAGCTCGTCTGCACTCATTTCTTTACGTCGTCGACGTGGTAAATATTTCTCAACGAAGAACTGAAACATTCAAGAAGTTCACCAATTCAACAATCAAACAAAAAGGAATACGCTCATGAGTAATGAGTGTCATTTTCATACCAGAAGTGCACTTTTACATCGTATACCATTTTGTTCAACCATCGCAAAGAGTGCAAACGTAAATTTCATTTGATACCATAAAATATGAATAGAAAGCAATTGTTGACAGCAAGCACCATGCACCTTTCATCCCAATGCCAAGAATTATTTTATCTCTCACACAACATAAATAATGCATTGATATTCTTACAAATACTGACAAAGAAAAACCATTACAATTCATACTTCCAATTCATTCACCAAAAAATTATTATTTCTGGAAATTGAACAGCTGGATCTCTCACAGAATTAAGCGAAAGCCAATGAATAAAATATATGCTCACAGAACGATACATGAGGCATGAAGCATCAGCAAACAAACCCAAATGATTGTGCCACCCATGATTATCGGTGATAACGAATGATTGCGACTAGAGTACAGAGTACGGAATGATAGTATATGATGTGAACGTAATTCTGAAAAGAAGCAACCTTAGCGCATTGCTGTACGAGTGGTTGTTGATGGAGATGGATGAACTGCAGACGACACAAAACATTCATACGATCCACATTGCATGCATGAGTCCAGTAACAATCATGCACCGCAGCGAACGTTATGCCTAGTCGACGACAGTGCAACGTCGTTAACATCATATGCGTTGAGTCGAGCGAGTGCACAAAATTCGGTGGAAACGCATTCACCTATAATTTCATTCAACTGAAAACATTGCCGTGGCTTCATGAAACTGTGATAAAATGTTCGATGGAAATGATCAGAAAGTCTTTTTTCCAAATAAACTTCAAGATCACTTGAATGGGAGTTAATAAAATAAGTGAGAATCGAATAAACAATTAGAAACCTGTTTCATCATAACTGGCATAAGACATAGCTTATTGTGCTTCTTTTTCAGTTTCAAATATGGCTGCATTACGGGTAGTCCCAAAGGTGTTTCCCATTCAACTGGTCGCATTAAATCAACTATCGATTTTGCACAACGACGGAACCAGTCCTTTAACTGCCTGAAATATTCTCAGCAGACGTTGACTGCTCAACGAATCTTCGCTGTTAACACCTATGAATTCTGGATTCCAATGATACTGCATCACTTAAAAAACACGAATATGAGAACGATTTCATCATCAAAAACCCACATTGAACTGGTGAACGCATCATGAAGACTTGCAAATGTCTTACGCGCTAAATACGACGAAAATCGTCCCAACTGAAAGACTATCATTTGCATGAAAATTAAGCAATTGAATGACTGAAAATGATATAGATCATTGATTCAATCTATTTTCAGTCAAATTTAAGTACGACCGAAAAAAATGGTTGCCGATTTTCGCAGGCTTGGCAACGGAACACAGCGTTAATTCACTGGATTAAGGAAGCAATGCGACAAACTTGTTCATCGTCAATTTCGAGTGCTTTCAGCTGTCGTTTGATCTGTTGAGTTCCACCGTACATTGTAACACCGTACACAGTTGTCATCACCGTCTGTTTTATTACCTTCAAAATGCACAATACCAGCCTAATATTTTAGCCATCTTCACGATATCTGCACATTTTAAACTATGTGACAAGTAACAATGGTAGAAGTGAACAACACGAATGAAGATGAGGGAACTGAACGAGAGACACTAAGAAATTGATCACCTTACGCGGTACAGTATCCGGCAATGCCTTTCGTAAAGCAATGGCAAACTCTCGGATATTCTCGTCTTCGCTCTTCTCATCCTCCAATCTTTTTTCTTCCACCCTTAATGATCTCACTTTACATATCATAAACAATTCAATTACAAAAACATCTAATTCTTAGATAACAACCGTTTCAATATTTGACATTTCCTCATTTTCCAGAATGGAAAAACTCCTAAGCACTGACGTAAACAAACTGAAAGTTCAGCTTCGAAAGCATGAAGAAAGGACTGTAAAGCAATAATGGAGAGCAAGAGATCAGTGGTTAGTGTTGCAGTTGTATGGGATGTAAAATGAGACAGACGACACCTTTTCGCAACACTTGAATAAACATCAGCAGGTAACTGACTCGGTAAAAGATTCACTTCAGCACCACCCTGACGATCACGCCCAAGTGCCGCATAATGTTGTAAACCATTACATGAGCCATCTTGATGAATCGGTAAATAACTCACAAATGTTGTGGCGTCACCTTAATTTGATTTGTACACTCCCCCATTAGATCACCTCTACAATCATTTTGTCAGTTCATGAACAGATCGGCCATAGGGAAGGAAATTTTTATCACTGCATAAACAAAGTAACAAAGATGTGCTAAACGAGTTCATCAGTAATGCTTATCGATATCACCTGAATTGAGTGCATCTCTGATTTCTATACATGCTGCTAGTGTTTGCCATGGTTCATCAGAGTCCATCCACCAGCGTTCACCTGTAGAAAAGGTTGTTTATCATTTTCGATAACTAACAGAGGCAGGCATATGCCCGAAGATCGCTCCAAATCGTGAACATTAACGAATCCACTTATCGGACTCATAGATCTTTATTAACAAAATTCTATTCGCATTCACGATGGATCCGCAAAGAAAATAAAAACGACGAACAAAAGTGTTTTGTAAAGAAACAGTACCGTTGATGGGATTGTTTGCAGAATCGATAATTTTCGGCAATATCTTATCGACGTAATCAAAACGACTCGCGATTGATTCTCTCTTCATATGACCAGTTAAGTTGACACAATGCAACTTCAGCCATTTGAATCCGTCTGCACCTAACTGTTTACCTGCAAGCAAAATTCACCAAACTTCAAATTTCACTTCTAGATTAGGCTTCAGACAAAATTTCATGGGCATCTTTCACGATCTCTACGCAAAACAACGTATCGTTAGCGCAACTATTAGTTAAATGTCAGTTTCATGAAACATCTGACTGAGAAACACTGAACATCTTTTGCGAAACGAATAAAATGAAGAACTGATCAAAACCTTCGGCAAAACGCAACAATGATCGATTGATATCGTCACCCATATGGCTCAAATACGGTGATATCGGATAAACACGACCTCTGAAGTCCATATTATGCGCAAAAAATAGAACATCCTTACGAAAGTGCTCGGCCATCACCAAACGATACATTAACCAATACCACAACGAGTTTAGTTCGTTCCTACAGAATAATTTCACTCGAGCAAATGCTTGTACACAGTTCATATCTACCTACCAAAACCAACCACAAACGCAATAGTAATAAACGAACGAATAAACAGTAAGCCGATGTCATAGGATAAAGTGTGCGAATGAATTCTAACCTCTTTTTGATGGATTCATATTTATTTTTCGAATATTCGCGCCATTTCTCCGAAGGTATTTGTTCGACTCGGACGTTATCGCCGAATGTTTCAACGAAATCTGGCACCTTGACAGTATCAGAACGTGAAGGTATGGCCAATCGATGCAGCATGTCCGCTTTCGACGGATCGGGGCTCATTTTGAAAAACTATCAAATTTTTATTATAGGTTGTTTAAGATACACAGCATTAAATCATAAGAACCTTCATAAATGATTTATAAGCAACTATTATGAATGCACTATCCTTCATTAAGGAAACTAAAATTCGCTCAAACAGAGAATTCACCCAATCGATCCTAAAGCAGTCAAAATTTCGATCACAGTTACACCACAAAAAAGATCAATGATTTTAGATCAACCCCATTTATATTCGATTCCAAAAATAACGTTTACACTTAAACGAGAATAGAATAAAATTCCATTTTACGCGAACGGAATGCGTGGTGGAACGATTTAAAAATGATGATTTTGAGGAATGTGTCAGTAATTCAGAAAATCTGGATGAAATACCTCGAGGATGATATCCAACATAGCACCATTTATACGCCAGGGAGTTGCACCGAGGTCATTCAACGCATCGAATACGGGACGTGCTTGACTTCTGCGATCATTTAAAACAACCACGATCAAATGCGCACCATATAAGTACCATCAATTCAGAATAGTATCAACAGCTCTGAGGAAGTAGTGCATCGACAATATATATCACATTATTTAAAGTTCATTCAAAATTCGATGCACCCATCTTTTTTCAGGTATAACTGACTATAAATTACTTCTTACGAATGTTCAGTTCAGATTACGAATGAAGATTACTTCTTACGAATGCGTCGTCTGACCTCATCACTGATAACGGTCCTTGGATAATCCGGCAGATTTCGCAGAACATCTGACGATTTTGTATATGATGGACCACCGTTACCGTAATCAATCCAAGGTCTTGGCGGTATCTAAACTTCGAACAATTCAGTCTCAAATTAGCCAAAAGAAAAAAAGAAGAATGAAATAAAATTTACATGAAATTCAAATATGTCAGCATACGCTATCAAATGGACGATTGGAGTAATCTAAAAGAAAACTCCCACGACAAAAGCAAATAACAGCGCACCTTCATTGGTAAATTATAAGTTGGGAAAAGAAGTGATTCGAATTGATGTTTGTTTAACAGATCAAGCATACGAGTATTCAGTGCCACCATCTTACTCAAATTCATTTTTCCGTCCTCCGAATAAATGCTCTCCTCTTCTAGTACCACATTCCTAATCCCAAATGCACGTGCGGTTTGATCCTTTACACTCGGCGAATGTCGTGACTCACCTGGAATAATTTACCTTTTACGACATTGAGAAAACAGAAATTCAGCGATCCATCTCACTACAACAAATACATCTGACGATAAATAACTAAAACCTTGCGAAGATGAGCTGTCATTGGGGAATGTACACGCTTCAATAACAACATTTAGCAGAAACGATCCGAGTTGTCGTCGAGTTTCTGCATGAAAGTTGACGAACGGAAATTGCAAGAACGGGTCGACTCGAGCATTCTCACAGCACTGCATCCACCACTCGCGTAGAGTGAAACGTCTTGATAAATCTGGCTCCAGCAAATATCGAATATATTCAGCGAATAACTCTTCACACAACTAAAAGACAATTTTCACTTTCAGCACCAATCGTTCATTTCATTTATTCCAATTATATAAAGTATTCTACTTCGCTAATTTTGATATTTTTGAACAGCTTTTGCGCGCAGTTGTTTTGTGGTCGAAAAGCCCTATAATCTATGTTCTAGTCGTTTATTTACTCATCTATAATAATTAATTTACACTGCGCATATAAGCCTCCTCAAGTGTTCTAGACTCTTAAATCATCAACATATTCTCAAACGTTTTCATTGTCAACCTTGAAGTTTACTAGGAACATTGCTATTCTGCATTCGGAAGTTGTGGAAATTTAAAAAAAAAGAACGAAATCAACGAAAATTTTTAAATATGATGACTTTTTGATATATTCGAAGAAAATTCTGATGCAAAAATCCAGAAAAAAAAAGATTCAAAACAAAACCTTTTCGGGCTCATCAATGAATTTAGTGATGAATTTTCGATGAATTATTTCCAAAACGGGTTCCGCAAGGGAATATTCGAACTGTGAATACACTATCAGATGTTGTCCTAATCCACACATCGACAGCACGGATGTCATCACCGATGACGCCACTTCGCTCGGATCGAGCACATCCAAATAACCCTTCACTGCAATACACTCCTTTAACGAGGCATCCTAAATACCTCAGCTTCGAAACAAAATTTGCGATCATTCTTAACGCAGTCCACTCTGTTAATCGAACTCAATTTCGTTACACACATGAAAATGCTCAATACAACATTTTGTGCATAACTTCAAATCAGCTTTGCTCATTACAATAGCAAATTGCAAAAAAAATTCGGAAGTAAGATTTGAGATTTATATAAGCCTGACCGACCATTGTAATGGAAACAAGTGGAAATTGAAATAAATGCGTTTCGCCTCCAACTAATAGATAAATCGAATAGAAAGTTGAAAATGTGATAAGATATTGAGCGGATGTTTACTAACAATAAATGAATGAATAGGATGCTCACAAGGATATTGTCTTAGCTGCTTGAGATGTTGCTGGAGGGTTCTTTCAATAGCCGATCGCCAATTCCATCCATCAATTAACTTTTCAGCACTAATTTCATTTGATACACGACAAAAATTACGAACTCTTAAGCAATGCGTTGATTCCATTGATAATTGCTCATAAAATTTCTTCATATATTCATCCTGAACAAAACGGAAATTGCATCCATCTAATGACAGCAGTGAAATATTAAGTGGATAACAAAGAGACGTTTGTGCAGGTAAATCGAATATGAATTGGTGTGCTTCGGTGAGTTAATTTCACGACTATATGAAAATCAACTGAATGCTCTGACAGAAGTCAATACATATTCAACGTTTATGATGAGTGGAAAAAAATTTAGTGAGGAAAATAACTGAAGGAAATGAAAAAAAGAATATTCGTACTTTGGTGATACGAAGCGATGAAAACGGTGAACCCAAGTAATCCTCTTTAGAGACCTCATTCCGCAATTCATCAACTAATTTCAAATCCTGAAGTTTTGCATTTATTGGGTATTTTTATCGGTGTTGAATATTACTATTGTCAACATAACTTCCATTATCATTAATAATGTAATTACTTTAAAATGATAATAATTTATGTGAGCCGAATTTCAGCACTAATTGAACCAACTTTATCATAACCATAATCTTCTTTAATTCCTCTGCTGGTTTCAACTGATTTGCCAGTGATTTCAATCAAACGTTTTGCTACAATTTCGTGATCTTCATCACAGAATAACAATCGATTCTCTTTTGGTGACCAGTTTCGAACCTGTGATTTAAATAATCAAACGAAGAACTCAGTTTTCCAAGCGGAGTTCGATTCAAAACCATTGCAATACATCACTGAGCGAAATTCGCATCAAATTTGTGACTAATATGTGTTGAGAAACGTGAATTCTGCAACTACATTCAAACAACATTCGGTTGCACTTTCATCACACCCAGAAGGAACATAATTTCAGATTATTCCAATGAAAACATTGAAAAATATTTCGTATCCAATAACAGGCGTTTACTAAAACAAAGATCAAACCGAACACTAACTAGCCAAAATAAACGAATCAACTGAAATAAATAAAAATCATTCAATTAATGGTTGCACAGCAACAGACTTTTTTGGAGATTGTCCGCTGTAGATCCAAAATTATTCGATCGATATCAGACGATCGTTGGTCGATCGATCGAAGATCGGCCCACTTCTCGATTCGATTCAAGAGAATCAACCAAGCCATTCGAGTGTTCGAGCCAAGGATCGGTAAACGCTCCAATAACGTTGCGATCGTATAAAATAATGAAATTGCATCACCCGAATCTGCACTTCGTATATTCGTTGAATATGAGCGCATACCACGTGCGGACAATAGCAAAGCTATAGAGAAGAACTGAAATTTGAGTCTGATTTTGAGATGAGAAATCCCGACTACTGGGATTTTTATTATTCTAATCACTTAGCACACAGCTAACTGCTCAACGAAATCATCTTGCAGTAGAATACTCAATCACTTCAAGCAAAACATATGCTTGATTAAAAAATCACCTATCCTCTCATCATCTCAAATTTGTATATATAACTGGCAATAAGACGTACTAATTACCTAATCATTGAACTGAATGAATACAGGCAATTAACGTAAACAAAAAAAACGATTGACATTCTGAAATTTAATGAAGTGCAACAAACCTGATCGTCTCCTCTATATTGAGTTGAATTCATCGAAACCGCTTCGAGAAATTGCATAACATAAGAAATCATTGATGAGTATTCCTCGTTTATAGCATATCTTAAATGAATCTTCATTAAATAACCGATCATAAATCAGAAAACCATTCTGTACTAAAATAATACTGCATCTGACAGCAATCTTACGAAGGAAGAACCGAAGAATCGTGAAAGCTAACACTTAATCTGAATAAACGGATCAACGCAATATTTCAAGCAATGCGTAGATGAAGTCATGAAATAGGATCCTCTCAATGAGGAACGAACGACACAATCGAAGCAATCAATTGATAATCACAAAAGAAACATATGGCCAGTGCAAGCCATACCTGATCAGTTGACTCTGTGCAGCCTTTTTGTTCATTTCGGCTGAGAAATTGAGTCGACTGTGTCTCAGTTCATACGAAAGTTCTTTAACTGTTTCTATTTCCCATTCTGATAGCGCAGATGACTTCGGAGTTTTAATCTTCGGCAAAGTAGAGTCATCGTTGTGATCAGATGTTGACGCTTCAATTTGAATTTCGATTGAAACAAAAACATTCGTAAAAATATATTTAGCGGTGAACAAAAATTGAAACATTTTATTAGATCTGAATTTTTCGAGTGTACTTTGAAAACATATTGCTGAAAATTTTGATGTGAGTAAGTGAATAGGTTTATTTCGGATCAAAATTCAAAAAAAATTTTTCGCTGCAAAACAGGCAAAATAATAAATAAGCAAACGAAAACTCACCGACATCTGCCGATATGAGTGGAACCTTTCGGGTGACAAAACGTTTGAATAGAAATTGCTGACTGCGTAAAATTTTGGTTCGGCAATGCAGTACACACTGATGAATAGATGACGCCTGATGCATTTGATCGCTATCACAACAGCATAACCAATTTCGAAAACTAAAACGATTCAGTCAATGTCTGAATAACTTTTGCACAACGAAAATATATTCTTTAAAATGGACTGAATCCAGTAGATAAGAACATCAATCAGTGCACATGATAACATCAGTCAAGAGCACCCATTCACACGACATTCACATCATTCACAAGAACACCTCACCGACAACCTAAGACCACCTAATCTTATCCATATAATTTGCATAACGATGTCATATTTAAAGCTTGAAGCCATTCTGCCGTACTGTGGCAAATCGTTTCGGAGTGGTCACTTCAATCGGAACACTTAATATTTCTCAAAATCGCTTGCCGCATCAAGTTAAATCTTGTAATGCGCGAGCATGAAAAGAGCTAAGCATAGTTCACTTTTCAGAAATCGGTCACTGATCCCGGGATGTGAACTAAACAAAGTCAAAGTTCACAGCACACTTCGTTAAGCTTGCGGAACAAACTTGCGGAATAATGCATGCGGCTACGAATTCTTCGTTAACACGGTGGCTTTCCGCTGGAGATACCAGCGCTCCCTGATGGACGTTGAGGGTTGCAGGAGACGTGAAAGGAGATGATGGGCGAGCACAGACTGACTGAACATACATCAAGAAATGTTGCTCGCAAAAAAAAAACTGAATTATGGGAACGAATTACCATTCTTGTGGCTTCACTGACTTGAAATATCAGCAGACCGTAGACAGCAAATACTGCCAATGGGGGCACTGATGGCGTCAAATACGATTTGAAACTTTAGAACTGCGAATATTTTAAATTGTTCTTTGTGCGGCCTACAACATCATTCGATGTCAGGTTGATCTTACAGTGGAGAAACTTTTCGAATTTCCATCAAGCAATGAACAAATCCTTCAAAATAATTCCCTTAAACCCGCCGTAATTGAAAACAACAGAACTCTCTCTCGCAAGTAGAATCGTTAGAGCCTGGAATCTACTCCCCCAATACATTATCTCCTCACAACTGCTTCAAATATTGAAACGCAGACTCCAATCAATTTCACTAAATGAAATTGGCTTCATATTCTTGTTAAAGCCACGCAAACTATTTGAATTGGACAGGTAGAAAAACTGAAAGAAGAGGTTACTTTGGCGACGTAATTCTACTCATGTCTCTCATTATGAAAATATGTATAATTTGATTTTGTTCTCTATTTTCGATCTTGCTCCCTTCCCCAGCAGCAGTTCAATCGGTATATTCAACTTTGTCACGTTGTAACCATTTGCGCCAAACATTATATGAGTAAATATCGTTCATATCCTTCTCTAAGAAAACATTACTGCAATGTCAAGTAACTTATTGAATCCACATAGTTCGGAAATAATGTTATAGCAGGTGTTCGAGGTACGGTTGAATAATCAACCCTGACCCGTTAATACGACTACAGTACTAGAGCAGTAATATGTATTTTTAACATGTTCATGTGAGGAAAATAATACTTTCTTGCAGACGAAACGTAACGAGCTGGCGGAACTTTATGCCGCTAAAAAATTATTGTAACAGAAGGCAGATTTTGAGCATCGGTCGGTTTCAATCGACGGTGACCGAAATTCGGTTTGCTAAGACTACCGACCGATTAGTGATTTTCGGTCTCAGTCGATTGCCAACAAATTTTGCCGGTCACCGAAGGGTGTTGTTTGGTCGTTAGCCACCGAAGAAGGTTCTTCGGCTTTCAACTCTGGTGCAAAGTCATGCTTTTGATCTCAGTTACTGATCGCAAGGGGGTTGGTAACAGAAGCCAAATTGCACTTTTGAAGGGACGCGGTCAGGTAGAGCACAGAG